GGCCTTTCAGGGAGCAGGGTCTATTTTAAGTGGTAATGTTCATTACGTCACTTCAAAATATGGTAAACAAACCCTGCTGGATGGGGGGGGGGGCTACTCCTGCCCTGACAGCACCACTCTGACAGAGTCTGCTATCTCACAGCTACATCGTATGACAAAAGTAGGATAATATTCTTATGAGTTGGTTGGGAAAGGAAATGAGTGCCCACCAAATTGTGGATATTACTTTTAAAAAAAATAAAACAAGAAGAGAAGTCCCCTGAATTGGACAGTAACCATCAGTCCTCCCCCAAGGCTTTGGAGGAGCTTGAATCTAACAAAGTTATCCTGGAAGCCTCTTGCCCTAGACAGAAAGCAGAACTCGCTGGTCCCTTCCCTTGACCCTCTCCTTCCTTAGCTCGTTCATCTCCTCCCATGAAACCCTAGACTTTATCTCTGATGCCGCTGCAATTATGAAATGCAAGTTTGCCGTTTCCACAAGGCCGTATTTACATGACATCATGGAGACAGATGGCACTTTGCAAATTACTTGGCAATGATGCATCCCAGATCCAAACCGCTTAACGGCGCAAGACAGACAGGACAGGACAAGCCATGACAGAAGACAGAGGTGGAGGACAGGAAGGAAGGAAAGGACAGCGGCTGTAACAAACAAGGACCATATGATATCTTTTGCAAAGCAGCCCGCATCTTAGGGAGTTCCAGCTGTCCCTATCTCACCCTCCTTCTTCTCCCCACTCCTGCCCTGAATCTTTCAACATCCTTGCAGGGCAAGGGAAGGAGAAAGAGCAGGGATAACTCATCCCATGGAGATAACTGTAAGACACAGGGACAAATACCATTGTAGATTAAGGGCCAAACCACATGTGGTTTTTAAAAATAGAATTCAGCTTTTATTTTTTTGTTTTTCCCCCCATTCCTGCCTCATTGCACTTTGCTTTTCATCCAAACCATATAAATTAAACACTTCTCCTTTTTCCACCATGCTGCTGATCCGTGTGGGACGTGACTTATGCATCTGCCCAGTTTCTTTGCAGGGCAGTGGAGTAGGCACAGAGCAGAACATCGTGCGCCCGGCGGGTCAATGCATGTAGAGGTCTGGTGGCATGAGGGTCTGATAGGCACGGTTCTTTCCCCCTAAGTAAAAAATGGTACCAATCCGCCTTATGCCCATGCTGTCCTGCTCCCTGCGCCCCAGTGTCACCCCAGGAGGACTTGAATGAAGGCGAATCAAAAGTCACCCATCCAGGGAAGAGCCCTTAGCACTCCTGCCCTCCCAACCTGGGGACGTGTCTCTCGCATCACCCTCAGAATCCAGTGAGGACCTTCCTTGTAGCGCCTTCTGTTCTCCAGTGCTGCCAGAGCCAGGGGCTTGGGAAAGGGGGTGGCGGGGGTGGATCACTGAGGGGGGTGACATTTGGCACGCCACTCGCCCATGACTCCCAAGCCTGCCTCTAGTTATCGGGGTAAGGGGGCGGAGCTGCGCTGCTTTGCCAGCGGCATTCCCCATTCCCCCTTTCATTTTGACAGCTTAGGAGAGGCTTGGGAGTCGCGGGTGGTGCACCGAATATCTGCCATGGGCGGCTCAGTCCACCCCCGTGGGTGGCTTGCTCTGCCCCCTGGCTGCAGGGCACGCGCACCACTCCAAGGCACTCAAGCGGCTATCCTGTGCCTGGGAGGGCACCCTCTGCGCCATGCCCCCCACACCCTGGGCAGTGCAGGATTATTCTCCCCCACTGGCCGGAGCATACAAGGCTACAGACCCTCACACAGGGTCCCCGCATGTTTAGTGGTCTATTGATCCCTGTGCCACCACTGTGCTTGCTTCCCTGCAGCCACCAACCAGTTACTCTCTGGTAAAACACTGAGTCCAGATAGTTGTTAAAATGAACCAAAAAAAAGGGGGCAGTTCAAGGCCAGCACCACCAACCAAACTGTTTGGCCGAATTCTGGCTGAAGCTCAGGGGCTTCTCAGCCAGTGAGCAACACCCCGAAACGGCTTGTACATCTGTGCCATCAAGTAGATGCGATGTCCTGTCCTCTCCTCATCTGGCTTTTGAGCTCAGAAGAATGAGGAGGAACAACAACCAAGAGTGTGACTTATGCTCCTAAGAGTGGAGGGACCCAGAAGGGCTTGAGCAGATGTTTCTGGCTTACTCAAGCCGAATGCATGTGGGTTTGTGGTTTCTCTTAAGTGTTTGCTAATATTTACCACATTGCACAGTCAAACATCCTTTCTCAACTGAGCTGGCTGCTCATAATGCAACACAGATGAGTTCATCAACAGTTGTCGGGGCCTTTTCTCTTCTTTTTTGGAGATGTGTGAAATCAAATGTTCCCCTCCCAAATCCATTCATTCCATTTATGCCAGAGGCTTTCAAGCTGTATGTTTTTTTGAGGTGGGGGAGGAGTGGAGACTGGTTTTTCCCTGGGTTCCTCAGTGAGAAGATAAATCAAGGTTGCTAGATGTTCATAGGGGCACTGGGAGAGTTCTGCTGGATCAAACCAAGCTTCTATTTCATCCAGCACCCTCTTGCACGCCACTGCCAAGGATGTGAGGAAGCCCCCAACAAAAGCCTGAGTGAAAAGCAATTCTTGTTGCTGCCATTGCTCCAATATTATTGATGCATCTTGAAGTGGGCTTGCTTGCAAATGAAAAAGAAAATGACTGTTGATATATCCTGTAGAATGTTATGTCTCAGAATCTGACAGTGAAAAAGTACAGCCATTAATTGGAAGCTAAGAGGAGCTCTCAGTGAAGTTTTGTAGTTTTGCAAGAAAGAGGGCTGGGAGGTCTTAATTCAGACCATCACTCCCCTTCAGCTGATTGGTAGAAATTTGCATGTTCTTTAAAAGGAGTCTATGAACACAGCCCCTTTTTACACCTCCCCCAAATCACCAAAAATGAGGGTTAGAACCCCCTCACTTCTTGCCTCTGCTAAATGAACCCAAGTTCCTCCAATTTTATTTCTCTCTTTTTGCCTTCTGCCTTCTGGCAATGCCTGCAACCAAGCTGATGAAAAATGTATTGCTCTGTTTTCCTTTGGACCACATCAGTGATGCTGAGAGGGGTTTATTTGTCATCTGAGCAGCCCAGGACCTCCAGACACACTGCCCAGGCTTGCACCCCAGAGAGGTCACCTCGGTGCTGCTAAGGCAGCAAAAACAACATGGGAGGCAGCAGTGGCGAGTTACCAGTCTCTGCAGCCACAGCAGGCGCTGTGATTCTCCAGCAGTTTGACTTCAGCCCTGGAGGCACACTCCATTGTCTCTTGAGACAGATGGTTGCCAACAACAAAGACACTTTATCTTCCCCAAGGCAACCGAAAGCAACGTACAACCAAACAGCCTACAAGTGTACGCAGCCTAACTTTGCACATCTCATTCCCCACCCAGCTACGAAGTCTTCTTCTGCATGTGTATGTCGCTTAGCTGGACTGGGGCAAAAAACAACAACACTTCTAGCAGTTGCCATATGTAAAAAAACAACAACTAACCACACATATCATATGTGTAGTCTGGGGTTTCTATAAATATACAATCACTAGTCCAGTGTAATTAATCTTTGCATTCAACAAAGATGTTCTGATCTCTTTGCAATGCAGAGAGGGTTGGTTTACATTAGCTGCCCCAAGTAAAATATTTCATTCTTTGACTGACATTCTGGGCAGCTTTGATCTTTGCATTATCTATTGATCCCCCTTGCATTGCAGCTTGGCACCGCAGCCAGTCAATGCTTAAAATGAATCAGCTTCCTACTTGGACCACCACTGGCTACTGGATCAAGCCTCTGGCCCCATCTAGTCCAGGATTGATGCTTTTGAATTATGGTACTGGAGGAGATTCTTGAGAGTCCCATGGACTGCAAGGAGATCAAACTGATCCATTCTTAAGGAAATCAGCCCTGAGTGCTCACTGGAAGGACAGATCCTGAAGCTGAGGCTCCAATACTTTGGCCACCTCATGAGAAGAGAAGACTCCTTGGAAAATACCCTGATGTTGGGAACGATGGAGGGCACAAGGAGAAGGGGACAACAGAGAACGAGATGGTTGGACAGTGTTCTCGAAGCTACCAGCATGAGTTTGACCAAACTGCAGGAGGCAGTGGAAGACAGGAGTGCCTGGTGTGCTCTGGTCCATGGGGTCACGAAGAGTCGGACACGACTAAATGACTAAACAACAACAAGTCCAGGATTCTGTTCTCAAAGTGGCCAACTAGGTACCTATGGGAAGCGCACAAGCAGCAACTTGGGCACGAAAGCAGCCTCCGTCCCTGCAGTTCCCGGGAAGTGGCATTCAGAAGCAAGTTGTCTCCAACAGTGCAGGGACAACTTAGCCATCCGTATTAGTAGCAGTGATTTACTGTGTATGGAAGAACCAGAAGACACTTTGGGGTGACGTTCAGAAGAATTCCACTAGGGGACGGAATTGCGTTCTGAATTAACTTTTAGCTTGTTGGAAAAGCGATAGCTTCCAGAATCTTAAATCTTTCAATGTGGGGACGCAGACAAAGTCCTCTTGTTGCTGTGGGAACAGACCAAAGCAGAGGGTAAATAATTTGACAATAACGAGAGACCATTTAATTTTCTTCCCACTTTTTAATGCTGCAGGTGGGGTTATTTTTTGGGAGGGGTGTGTTTGCATTTTTAAAAACCACTTTAATTTTCAAATTCTCCTTTCGCCCTGCTGTAATTGGATCCATCATTTGTTGCCTAACCTGAGAGCTGCTCTGTGAGAAGTCTGGGGAACACAAGACCCTCCCTACTGCCAAATGGGATCATGGCACATAGGTCTATTTAGACGCCATGCATTCAAAAAGCCCTGGCTGCCGGTACTCCCTGCTCTCCATTTCCTTTCATCTCAGCACCTCACTTTGAATCAAAAAGAGCAGCTGCATTCTTCACATGGACTGACTGGCTTTTCCTCAGAAAGATATTCTGAAGTTGAACGTATGATGCACACAAACACCCTCACAAATTTGGGTTCGTCAGCAGAAACAGAAATTTAGAAGCTGACATTTTATTTTACTGCTTTCGAGCCAAAGGCAACCAGCTCATACCCGCCAACATTTCTCTGATGAAAATAGGGATGTCTTATTCTATTATTAAAAGGGATGTGGGTGGCGCTGTGGGTTAAACCACAGAGCCTAGGACTTGCCGATCAGAAGGTCGGCGGTTTGAATCCCCGCAAAGGGGTGAGCTCCCGTTGCTCGGTCCCTGCTCCTGCCAACCTAGCAGTTCGAAAGCACGTCAAAGTGCAAGTAGATAAATAGGTACCGCTCCGGTGGGAAGGTAAACGGCGTTTCCGTGCGCTGCTCTGGTTTGCCAGAATCGGCTTAAACATGCTGGCCACATGACCCTGAAGCTGTATGCCGGCTCCCTTGGCCAATAAAGCGAGATGAGTGCCGCAACCCTAGAGTCAGCCACGACTGGACCTAATGGTCAGGGGCCCCTTTACCTTTACTATTCTATTGTTGTTGTTGTTGTTATCCCACCCATCTGACTCTGGCCACTCTGGGTGGCTTCCAACATATATAAAAACACAAAAAAGTAAACATAAAAAACTGCGCAATACAGGGCTGCCTTCAGAGGTCTTCTAAAGGTTGTATAGTTACTTATCTCCTAGGCTCAGGGGTTGCATAACTCCATACCATCTAACATTTCTTCGATGTAAATAGAGACATCCTAAGGAAAAGTGGGACATTTAGGGGTCAAATAAAAAACTGGAATGGATTCTGTATGAAACAACCACCGCCCCTAACAAATTTAGGTTCATCAGTGGGAATAAGAATTTAGAAGTTGACTTTTTATTTTACTGATTCCGAGCCAAAGACACCCAGCTGATTGCGGCTGGTGGGGAGTGATTCTGGTCATCTGTGCTGCCTGTATTAAGTGACCCTCCTTTGAGAAATACTGAGTTCTCTCTCTTCCACCAGAGACATGTTTAGTAGGGCAAATGGGGGCAATGGCCTACTGTGGCGATCAAACAGGGTCCCCGGACGTTTAACGGTCTATTGATCCCTGTGCCACCACTGTGCTCGCTTCCCCGCTGCCACCAGCCTGTTACTCTCTGGTAAAACACTGAGTCCAGACAGTTGTTAAAAGTGAACCAAATACAGTGGTACCTCAGGTTAAGTACTTAATTCATTCCGGAGGTCTGTACTTAACCTGAAACTGTTCTTAACCTTTAGCTAATGGGGCCTCCTGCTGCTGCTGCGCCGCAGGAGCATGATTTCTGTTCTCATCCTGAAGCAAAGTTCTTAACCTGAAGCACTATTTCTGGGTTAGCAGAGTGCGTAACCTGAAGCGTATGTAACCTGAAGCGAATGTAACCCAAGGTACCATTGTAAACAAGTTTATTTTATAAACATTAACAAGTTTATGGTTTCTCAGATAATATTCCTGTCAGTATCTATACCTTCCTAATACCTTCTCACTGATTATCTCAACTGTTTGACTGACTCCTCTTAAAAAAAAATTCTCTCACTCTCTCACATCAGACTAGCCCAACCCACAGATTTATCCTCTCTGTTTCTTCTAACTCAAGACTGTCTTCTCCACCCTAATTCTAAATCTCTCCAAAAAAACAAAAACAAAACCCTCTGTGCTTAAACCTTATATACACTTAACTCTGCCCCCTGGGTTCCCATTGGTGAGTCATTTTACAATGAGTTAACCCTTTCCTTATGAACCCAGTATGATGTCACACACCTAAGAGGGCAAATGCCACACCTAGAAACTTCAGCCTGCCCTGAGCCAGCCCCCGGCTGCCTACTTTCATGTGCACAACCGCAAGGAGGGTAGCCAGGCCCAGGGAGAAGCGGCATGCTGGCATTTTCTGGCGAGAACTCATGAGATTTTGCTGATATATCCACTGGCAGAGCGGGCAGGGCACAGAGGCAGCCTGCTATGGCTTGCCTAACAAAGCGGTGCGGGGGGTACACGCGTGTGCCGCAGTCCAGGCGAGGAAAGAGTGGCGAAGCAGCTGTCAACTCTCCTCCTCTCCTTGTCTTTTGCCGCTAGTGATGCTACAGTCACTGTCCTACCAGGCAGAGGGCCTTCTTGGTGGTGGCACCCGCTGTGGCGATCACACAGGGTCCCCAGACGTCTGACAGTCTATTGATCTCTGTGCCACCACTGTGATTGCTTTCCCGCTGCCACCAACCCGTTTCCCTCGGGTCCAGACAGTTGTTAACATTAACAAATAATCAAGTTTATTTTTATAAGCATGAACAAGTTTAAGGTTTCAGTTCATCCTTCTTGTCAGTTTCTTAATCTTAGTTTCTTTACTGACCTATTCGTTCCTAACAACTTCAAACTGATTACCCCAACTATCTATCTGACTCCACCTAACAGTTCCTCTCACTCTCTCACAACTTGACCAACCCACAGACTTCCTTCTTCCTTCTCCAACTCCCAACTCTCAACTGACTTCCACACAACTCCCACTCTAACTCCTCCCCTTGGGTTCCCACTGGCCAGTCACTTCACACTCATTTAACCCTTTCCTTATGACCCACCTAGGAGGCCAGCACCACACCCGCCCTGTGGACCGCCCTCCCATCAGATGTCAAGGAAATAAACAACTATCCAGCTTTTAGAAGACATCTGAAGGGAATGTTTTTAATGTTTGAAGATTTATTGTGCTTTCAGTTCTGTTGGAAGCCACCCAGAGCGTCTGGGAAAACCCAGCCAGATGGGCGGGGTAGAAATAATAAATAATAATAATAAATATTATTATTAATAGGCTCTGACCCTGGCATGGCAATAGTCTGTGCAACACCCAGAAATGGATGTGTTTGCCTGGTGAAAAATGAGCTGTCCTTTCCCCACCAGTGCTAGGAAAAGTAAAATGCAAATAAACCCATACTTTAAGTGGGGGGGAATTGATCCTAGGGGTATTTTCTTTACTTCTGCTTGTGTGTATGATGCCTTGAACAAGCGCAACATTCAGTTTTTCTGGGAAATTCTTTGCTTTCAAGTCGCTGAGAGATCTAAGCAACCTTGCTGGTAGCTCCGGGAAAGTTTTACAGCATAAACACACCTACCCGAGGTTCTGTATTTTAGCCCACTAATTAGCCAATAATTATCCTCTCAATGCGTCTTGGAAGTGAAACCACGGCTGTGACACAGGAGAACAAGGTCAGGCTTTGATTGCCTCGCTGCCTCACTTCTTAGCTGAAAAGCAGCCAATTATACCTGTTGTAAAGCGAGGTCAAAGCATCAGGCTGGCGATATAAATAAATTAGATCCTGTTTGGGTTCTTAGACGGGGGTGTATTAATAGCTAGGCACAAATAGCTTAGGTTTGTTTGAATGCCTTTCAAGGAAATGGGGGGGGGGGTGGATACACTAAAAATCATTCTATCTAGATCCTGGAAAGAGGATAAGATTTGCAAGCCTAAAACCAGCCGTTTTGTCATAAAGGGGGCCTGAGGATACATTAGGAGAGGGTGTGTCATAAGTTGATGTGAAACGGCGCACAAAGCTAAACTAAATTTTGTGTTTCAATTTAAGGCCAGAGCAATCTGAGAGGGAGACCCAGGCAGAGGAACCTTTTCCTATATGACCTGCCAGCTCTTGCCAGCAGAATGGCAGGTGGTAGTGGTCACACAAAGAATATCCTCTTCTATGGACCTTTACCTTTCTAAATCCCTCCTTCCTAGGGTTGTCATACGTCCAGAATTTCCTGGACATAACTGGGATTCTGCCGTCGGAAACTGTGTCCGGGCAGAAATCGCTGAAACATCTGGGAAAATCTGGACGTTTGGCAACCTGTGTCAGTACAGTGGTACCTTGGTTCTCAAACTTAATCCGTTCTGGAAGTCTGTTCCAAAACCAAAGCGTTCAAAAACCAAGGCGCACTTTCCCATAGAAAGTAATGCAAAATGGATTAATCCGTTCCAGACTTTTAAAAACAAAACAAAATTCATGTTAAACAGCAATTTAACATGAATTTTACTATCTAACGAGACCATTGATCCATAAAATGAAAGCAATAAACAACGTACTGCTGTCACACAATCAATCCATCCGTAGCTAAACTGGGTTCCACACAGTCACAAAAACAAAACAAAAAAGCCGCAAAAACATAAACACAAAATAAATAGCAAAAACAAACTTCAACACAACACTCAAAACGGGTGGCACTCAAATCGGAAGCGTAACACTCAAAATGGAGCACGTTCGGCTTCCGAAAAACATTCGCAAACCAGAACACTTACATCTGAGTTTGCAATGTTTGGGTTCCAAGTTGTTTGAGTAACAAGGCATTTGAGAACCAAGGTACCACTGTAGTGTAGATTCTTATGCACTACCAAAATAGCTCTAAAGCTTCATTTATGGCAACCCTACTCTTTCCATTTCTCCCCATTTGAAAAATCTTATGGCCCACACTCCCAGGCACCAAAGGATTGCACCCTAAGAGCATTTAATTTATTTTATTTCATGTTCCTTGCTTGATGACTGCAATGCTGGTTAGTGGATTGCATGTGTGAATGAGCCTCTCCAGATAAAAATGCAGACAGAACTTTCATACCTCCTTATATGTGCTGAAAGGAGTTAGTTTGTGGATTAAGTCATGGGTCACCAATTAGCACCCACGGATGTATTTATGAACAGAAGCCTTGCCTGGCACCTGCAGGGACTTCTCCCCCCTCCACCTCAGTTGAGCTCGACAAAAATTAAAATAACTCCTGGACGTTCCAGAGGGTTAACCTATTGCAGATTTTAATCATTAATTTAAAAAATCTACACATTGTTTTCTAGTGGCACTTGTTGTTGTTGTTTAGTCGTTTAGTCATGTCCGACTCTTTGTGACCCCATGGACCAGAGCACGCCAGGCACTCCTGTCTTCCACTGGCTCCCGCAGTTTGGTCAAACTCATGCTGGTAGCTTCGAGAACACTGTCCAACCATCTTGTCCTCTGTCGTCCCCTTCTCATGAGGTGGCCAAAGTCTTGGAGCCTCAGCTTCAGGATCTGTCCTTCCAGTGAGCACTCAAGGCTGATTGCCTTAAGAATGGAGAGGTTTGATCTTCTTGCAGTCCATGGGACTCTCAAGAGTCTCCTCCAGCACCATAATTCAAAAGCATCAATTCTTCGGCCATCAGCCTTCTTTATGGTCCAGCTCTCACTTCCATACATCACTACTGGGAAAACCATAGCTTTAACAATACGGACCTTTATCGGCAAGGTGATGTCTCTGCTTTTTAAGATGCTGTCTAGGTTTGTCATTGCTTTCCACCCAAGAAGCAGGCGTCTTTTAATTTCGTGACTGCTGTCACCATCTGTGGTGATGATGGAGTCCAAGAAAGTAAAATCTCTCACTGCCTCCATTTCTTCCCCTTCTATTTTCCAGGAGGTGATGGGCCCAGTGGCCATGATCTTAGTTTTTTTGAGCTTCAGACCATATTTTGCGCTCTCCTCCTAGTGGCACTATCTCATTTATAGTGCCATTTCACCATTAATCAATCAATAAAGAAAAGAATGGGTGGAATTCTTTTGGGGTGATTTGATTCATTTATATTTCTATGCCACTTTTCATTCAAATGAATCCCAAAGCAGCTTACAAACAATAAAGGAGAGGAGCATTTGTCAATGAAACGAAGAAGGAGTCAAGTTATAGTTATTCCGCCTCCCCCTCCCCAAAAATATGTAGATCAGAGCAAATGTGGAGAGCGGAGACAACTACTGCTGTGTGGAGGAAGCTTCCATCTCTCCTCATTCTGCAGACAGATGTCTTCCATCAGTGGACCAACACCCATCCACCCTACCAAGAAAACCGACTGTGTACTGCATCCAGGCCGGGGGAAAACATCCCTCCCTCGCCCAGCTTGTGTGTTTTCATAACTGTTGCCTTGAGCTCTTCCCCTCCCCCCCAGTTCTTTATTTTATTTTATTTTGACCAAGTAATAATTATACATAAATAGGAATAAAAATGTGCACCCCACCACTGAGACCATTCCACTGTAACTATCCAACCTCCCAAAATTCCAACACCTCTTGCGATGGTTTGACCCCTTTCCATTTTAACAGTACAAATTCTACAAACACCCTCCATATCTCCTCAAATTCATTTCTCCTGCATATTCCTCGTCTTACCTCAATGGCACATGTTAATTTATCGTTAATAGCTATATCCTACACCTCTTTATACAGTGGTACCTCTGGTTAAGAACTTAATTCGTTCTGGAGGTCTGTTCTTAACCTGAAACTGTTCTTAACCTGAGGTACCACTTTAGCTAATGGGGCCTCCGGCTGCCACCATGCCGCCGCCACTGCACAATTTCTGTTCTCATCCTGAAGCAAGGTTCTTAATTCGAGGTACTATTTCTGGGTTAACGGAGTCTGTAACCTGAAGCGTCTGTAACCTGAAGTGTCTGTAACCTGAGGTAAAGGGTAAAGATAAAGGGACTCCTGACCATTAGGTCCAGTCGTGACCAACTCTGGGGTTGCGGCGCTCATCTCGCTTTATTGGCTGAGGGAGCCGGTGTACAGCTTCCGGGTCATGTGGCCAGCATGACTAAGCCGCATCTGGCGAACCAGAGCAGCGCACAGAAACACCGTTTACCTTCCCGCCGCAGCGGTACCTATTTATCTACTTGCACTGGCATGCTTTCGAACTGCTAGGTTGGCAGGAGCAGGGACAGAGCAACAGGAGCTCACCCCATTGTGGGGATTTGAACCGCTGACCTTCTGATTGGCAAATCCTAGGCTCTGTGGTTCAACCCACAGCGCAAGCTGTGTCCCGCAACCCGAGGTACCACTGTACTATTCTTCCATTTTATTTTCTGCTTGTCCCTTCCACTTCCTAGCCATAATAACTCATGCAGCTGTCAATAAATTTGTGAGCAAGTCCTTCCTGGCCTGCGAACCTTCCACCCCATCATAAATTGATAATAATTTTGGACTTTTGGTTAGCATTATACCAGTGATTTCTGTTATCTCCTTAAACACCCTTTGCCAGAAAAATTGTACACAGCTACACCACCACCACACATGAACATTATTTCCGGTTTCCTGGCATCCCTGCCTTGAGCTCTTGTGTGTCTGGATGGAGGCTAGAAGCGAGTGTGTGCAGATACTAGCCTAAAAGCAAAAATTGAATTTGCTGCCCTACCCACCTTTGCCTCTGGCACCACCCACTGGCGGTACGTTGCGTACAGCAGACTGTAGCCCTCAGGCTAATAAACTTCCCCCGCTCCCGAAAGAGAGGAAAGCCAAGATAGATGTTGGGGACGAAGGACGTTGCGATATGTTCTTGCCGGTACACAACTTTTAATGCTGCTATAAACCTGTTGATGTCCCAAACCACTTGCGGTACATTCAGACACAGCAATTGCATTAAAAGAGAGAGAGCTGTGATGGATGATGTTTCAATGGGCAACATTTTCCAGAGCTAAAGGGGAACTTCGCAA